AAGAATAACAGTGCTTGTCTGTGTGCGCAATGGGATTTTAAAGACTACTGGTACAAGGACTTCCCAAGAATTCCAGAATATCTGTCTGAGTGGTGGGTTATTTAGGAATGGTACGTGGTAAGATCAGGATGAAATCAGGATGTAACAGATGCCATAGGCTGGGTTATGTAGTTAATAAGCCACATGTTTGGTCAGCTACATAAAAAGACTCACTCAGCCTCACTGAAAATCCCTCCAAACAAACTCAACACACAAAGGATTGGAGAAAATTGAAATTCACTTCCACAAATAACAAATAATTCAAGTTCAGCTGTCAATTTTGATTCTGAGATCGATGGATTTCTATTCACTGAACACACCAGGGATCTGGGATGCTGCAAGAATATGGAGTTAAATGCAGTACAAAGTTGGGTAGGAGGGTGATCTGTGAAGAGGATGCAGAGATGCGTCAGTGAAAGTTGGACAAGTTGATTGGGAAAATGCATGGTAGATGAAGTAGAACATGATAAATGACAGGATCTGTACTTTGGTCGCAAACACAGGAAGGCAGACCTGAATGTAGATAGATTGGCAAAGGGGGAGGTGCAACAAGACTTAGGTAAGCGTTCAGGTGCAGCAGGCAGTAAGAAGGGAAGTGGAATTTAGCATCTATAGTAAGTACTGGAGCAGAGATGTCTTGCTGCAATTGGAGATAACACACTTAGAGTACTGTGTGCAGTTTTGATCTCCTTATCAGTGGAAGAATGCTAAGGACAGAGTGCAGTAAAAATTTACCAGACTGATTTCTGGGATGGCAGGACTGAGGTATGGAGACAGAGAGAGAGACTGCTTTCATTAGACTACATTAACTGGAGTTTAGAAGAATGAAGGAATCTCATAGAAATCTATAAAATTCTAACTTATCTATAGAGAGGAAATGCACAAAGGATGCTCCCAATAAACAAGGAGTCCAGAACCAGGAATCACAGTATAAGGATATGGGGTGAGGGGAATATGGGGTGTGGGGATAAAACTGGATTAGGGTAGGGTTAGATGATTAGACATGATCAGATGGAATGGTGGAGCAGACTCAAAGGGCTGCATGACCAACCCCTGTATGATTCTATGTTTCAACCACAGATATACCATCATCTCACTGATTGGTGAGAAACACTTAAGGCACTAAGTGGCAGATTCCTTTCCTTCTGGACTGCCCCAAAAGGAAGCAGCTGTCCCTCAGTCCTCCTCCTCCATCACAGCAATATTGCCTCAAAGGAACTGTAAAATTGCACTCCGCAGGATTATGAGCAGCTGCCAACACACACACACACACAGAGAACTCCACAATAGGAAATCAGTAAGAATCCTCAGACATTCTGCATCTCCCAGATAATTACATCTCACCTTCTCATATTCAGGAATGAGCCATCGACAAAACAGCCCGGAAATCAGAAGGGAAATACTTCCAATAAACACACTCAATATCCAACACACAGCTCCAAACACTTCAGTCCAAAGCACTGAGTAAACAGCTCTCTCAGCTGGATCTTCTCACACAGCATAAGGGACATTTCCACCCCTGATTGCCCTCAGGATAGTCAAGCTGCCTGAAGATTGGTGTGGATATTATGGAATACAATTTGTATAAAAGCTGTTCCTTCACTCACCATCTCCTCACTTGGTTTTCAGTCCCTATAGGAAGTGAACCAGCTCTGGAAGAGGAAGAGGAGAGAATGAGCAGAGTGGGTCGGCTCTCTGATTGACGTCTCTCACAGTCAATCCAAATATTTCTCTTCCTGAAGCTTGGGAAACTGATCGGTGAAATGGAGGTGACTTTGAGCAGCAGATCAGGTGGAGTTTTAAACTCTTCATTGTCCCATTTGAATAAAACCTCACTTATTGCAGCTGCTGTCTCAGTTCCCCTGCTAAATGTTTGACAGAGATTTCTAGTGTGGGAACAGCATTCTTCATCCTTGGACGCTTTCAAACTGACCAGTGTGTGATATGGATTCTCGGATGTGTTTAACAGCAGATGAGAGAAGGAAGATCCCCAGCATCCAAGGCAGTGATAGTGTGCAGTGGTGGCATCAGCACATGCACAGCGGAGAGAGAGGAATTGAGATGGATGCAGGAAAGAGAGGGATACAGGAGTCAGAGTGGAGCCCAAGAGGGAGGTTAAAAAGGAGTAGTTTCACCAATTTCTTTTTGACGATGACAAAAAAAATTTGAAAATTACTCTTGATCTCTCCAGACTATAAAACTAATCTTGGAAGTGTGTAAGGTGAACATGTTACATCGAGGTATGATGAGCTCAGGGAACTGGATTACTTTTACATAATATTACTACAGTGCTAATGCCTCCCAAAGGAGGAGATCTGATAAGCCTGTGGAGCCCTCCTCACATGTGACAGCCCAGAGGATTGAGTTGTGGTTCTGATGGAAGGCTCCACACCACTTACCAGTTTCAGGTCTGATGATATGTCAAAGCTTCCCTGACCCAACTGATTTCCAGATGATGGTTTCACTACCCAACGTTCTCTGTTGAGCAATGCTGTGAATGTATTCCCACAGTTGAGCAGTTGTTCCTTGGATGATGATCAGGATCTATCTGTGGTATCTATCCAGTCTGTATTCTCTGATGTAGTATGGTGCAATCCCTCTGTAAAACAGAAAAAGGAAACATGATTTTCTCCAACTCTCTCTCCACCTTTGCTGAAAGGGCTGACTCCTCAGTTAGAGACTGTTCCACAGTGACTCTGCTATTCCCTTGTTGGGGGAAATCAGGAGCAAGTCTTTTTCCTCACTTGACTGTCACACACCCTCTGTTTTCAGCAGGGACACAGGATGTGAGCAGGAGCAGACAATGTGGCTCCTTTCTTTCCACCCACACCTCATCTTCCCAGGTACTGTGAAGGCAATGGAAGAGAATTTAAAATTTATTGTTAGCTTGTGCCATACTGCAGAAGTTCAGTTTTTTCCTTAGAGTACGTTTGCTATGAAAAAACTCAGACTTTTTATTTTTTGACATCTCCAAATAAGTCATTAAAAGACACTTCAGTAAATGTTCTCCAGATACAGCAGCAAAATTGAGATTGAGAATTCACATCTAACTACAGGAAGTTTCATACATAGAATTGCAATAAGATATGGACTATTGAAGGACTGGGAAAAGGGAACAATGTACCTGTATCGACACTTGTGTATCCCTTTCCTAAGTATTTTGTAAATTTCAATGAGATCACCACTCATTCTTCAAACCTCTGCTAATACAGACCCAGTTTGCCTAAACTGTCTTCATTGGACAGTCCTGCCATCCTAGGAACACTTCTGGTGAACCTTTCTTGAATTCTCTCTATGGCAATAATATCTTTCTTGAGATAAAGAGACCAAAACTACATACAATACTCCAGGTATGGTCTAACCAAGCTCCAACATAATTGAAACAAGATTTCAGTATTCCTGTGGTCAAATTATCGGGCAATAAAGACTAACATTCCATTAACTTCCCTAATAGATCACTGCACCAACATGCTAGTCCTCAGTGATTTATTGACAAGGAGTCATCGGTCCCCTGGCACACCTACACTTCCCAACCTCATAGCATTTAAGAAAAGTGGAGAACCTCACATATTTCCACATATTGTTATGGAGGGGGAATGGCCGAACCTCTCTAATAATTAAATTAAAACACAAGCCTCAATCTGTTATGACATGAGTAGGAGTTCCTCTCTAATAATTACCCAGAGAAGCCCACATTTCCCCTTGTATTAAAAGAATGGTTAAAAGGAAAATCTCTGATCTCCACTTTACAAGTAACAAGAAACATTTTGTTAATTTAACCAAACAATGAACAAATTAATAGAATTACTAACAAACTGCCAATTCCCCCTTAGACTGCTAATTACTTCCTAACTGGTCTAAATTCTACTGAAATACTGTTCAAATAGACACAAGTCTCACTTATTAAACCCAATTAATAAGAAAACAATAAAATTAAAACCTAATCTTTCAAAAGTTCGCACAGACTTTCTTTTGGAATATTTTGTCTTCTCCACTCTCTTCACAAATGCCTTTCTTCCCACTAATTCTGCTGTTAGGGATTTTTTTTCGCTATAATTTCTTCAACGAGGACTTTGGACTAAAATACTATCTTTGATTAATTAGATGGGTTTTCTCTGAGAGCTAAATGGTGCTAACTCTTTACAGGTCAGGGATGTCTCTCTCCGATTTTCCAAATGCCCTGGTCTTATATATCCATAATTACTTAATCAAATTCTTCTAATAAGTTTGGTTTCAGGTTGTCTGCACCATCAGATTTAAATTCAATTGGCTTTCTGCATCTAGGTGCTTAACTTAAATTAATTGGCCAAATTCAAACTTGTTGTCTTGGGAAAAAAATGCTACTTGGCTCTTCTCTTCAAAATGTTTCAATTCGGCTCTCTCCATGCACCTGCAGTTATAAACTTGCAACCTCAGACAAAGCACAAGCTCTCAAAGGGACCATGGCACTCTTTTCCCAACAATAATTTTTACCAATAAATTCTAACTTCCTTCCTTCCAATTCGTGAACACTCTACCCAGCTTCGCAACAATATTCCATCTGCAGTGTTCATGCCCATTCATTAAGCCTGTCCAAATTCTCTTGAAGCTATTTCCACTTAGCTTTGTATCAACCAGAAATTTGGAAATCATTTATATTATATATGATAAATATGTGAACAACTAGGCTCCCAAGCGCCCCTCCTTGTGGTACCCCACGAGTCACACATGCCAACACGGAAAAGACACATTTATTATTTCTGTCCGAAAATCAACTTGTGTTACCCATAAGGATCCCATCACCCTGACGAGCTAGTTTAAATTCAAGCCCAACAGCACTAGCAAATTTCCCTGTGATGTTCTTGGTCCAATTTGTTAAGGTGTAACTTGTTCGGCTTCCAATATGTCATTCGTGTGCCTCATTTACCCTCCTGTAACTCTCTCCTGAATTAGTCAGCACCCATACTTCTTCCTCTTCCAGAGCTGGTTCACTTCCTATAGGGAGTGAAAACCAAGTGTGGAAATGGTGAGTGAAGGAGCAGCTTTTATACAAATTGTATCCCATAATATCTATACCAATCTTCAGGCAGTCTGACTATCCTGTGGGCAACCAGGAGTAGAAACGTCCTTAATGCCGTGTAAGAAGTTCCAACTGAGAGAGCTGTTTACTCAGTGCTTTGTGCTGAACTGTTTGACTGGAGCCGTGTGTTGGATATTGAGTGTGTTTGTTGGAAACATTTCCTTTCTGACTTCCAGGCTGAGTTTTGTTGATGGCTCGCTCATTCCTGAATATGAGAAAGTGAGGTGTCATTATCTGGGAGGTGCAGAGTGCTTGAGGATTCTTACTGATTTCCTGTTGTTGAATTCTGTGTGTGTTGGGAGCTGGTTATTATCCTGTGGACTCTGAATGATCAGTTCTGTCAGTGTGTTGGAATGTGGATGTTGCCTGTCTTTTCAAATCCCTCTGAGACCCCCCAGCACCCTACCTAACAAGCCTTTTAAATCCCCCAAATGTCCCAAAGTTAATAACATCCCATGGCATAATGTCAAAAATGAGGCACACCAAGCTCCTACAAACAGCAGTGTATTAATGACCAGATAATCTGTTTTCTTATTGTGTTGACTGAGGTATTATTACTGTCCCTATAGGGACCAATAAAATTTTTAAAAATTTTACACTTCCAGTAATCAATTTAAAAAGATTGTACAACAAGTTTTTAAATGTTAAAGCTTTTAGTGAAGTAGACCAAACAGAAACATTGATTAAACAATACCAAGGAGGTAACCAATGCACTAAATGATATCAGAAATATTCCTACTTCAATGTTTAACGCCAAAAAACAAAGCATTCTTCAGTTTATGTCCCACCATCTGCATAATCACAGTTTTTATGCAAATCAGTTTAACATCACCCTCAGCTTCCAATCGGTTTGCTTCTCCCTAATTGAATGAATTTTAACATTGAATGACCCCATCTAAAAATGAATTGCTGAACTTCCAGTGACATCTGAACCAATTGTCAACCCTGAAGCCTCTTCAGTAATTCGTTTCCCAGCCATCCTGGACAAACCTTCTGGAGTCTTTAGATTGTCACAGGATGTGTCTTTTCAACTCGAGTCCGCGTTCCTTCCCACATTCTGTTTGGCAGTTTCCTCGCTGCTGGCCACAATGGCTGCAGTCCTTGGTCTCTCTCTCTCTGTCCATAATCTCAGAGACAGAAAATCTTTCCAATCAGCAGTTCTTGCCTCCGTTTTCAGGTGTGATTACTTTGAAGCTTGTGTAACATTTCCAAGAATACCCATTCTAGACAAGAATATAAAACTACTTCAAAACACCCTTTCCAATGTCTACTGTTTTACCATATATTAGAAACATAACAATCTTATGAATTTAACATTTATAATACACTCCTGACTTGATAGTGGGGAAGATTGGAGTTGTCAGCCCCTTCAGCAAAGGAGGAGAGGGAGTTGGAGGAAATCATGTTTCCTTTTCCTGTTTTACAGAAGGATTGCACCATACTACATCAGAGAATACAGACAGGATAGATACCACAGATAGATCCTGATCATCACCCAAGGAACAACTGCTCAACTGTGGGAAGACATCTAGTCCCTTCACAGCATTGCTCAACACAGAAGGTTGGGCAGTGAAACCATCAATGTTTGGGTCAGGAGAGCTTTGACATATTATTAGATCTGAAACTAGCTGGTCCTTCTGTCAGAACCAACCTTTCTGAAGGTTTGGCTATGGGTGATTGGTCAGGGTGAGGCAGGGAAGAAGTGTGTTTAGGCTCCAAGTGTGGTCAGAGCTTCAAACATTCATCACACCTTATGTATCACAGACTCATTCCTAAAGCTGAGAGGTTGTTCAAATGTGAGGAAGGTTCTGTATGGTTATATGATCTTCTTATGCAATAAGGTGCACCTATTACAACCACTTTTAACACATGGACAGCTACATGGAAGAGAAACCATTCAAGTGTGAGGTTTGTGATAAATCATTTGTGACATCCACAAGGCTCTTGAGACACCAGATGATTCACAGAGGAGAGAAGCCCTTCAGGTGTGAGGTTTGTGAGAAGGCTTTCACCCAATCCTCCCACCTTCAACGACACCACAGGATTCATACGGGGCAGAAACCATTTACATGTGAGGTGTGTGACAAATCATTCCTGGACTTATCGAACCTACATGCACACCATCGTATTCACACAGGGGAGAAACCATTCATTTGTGAGGTATGTGATAAATCATTCTCAGATTCATCAACGCTGCGCAAACATCAGCGCATTCACACAGGGGAAAAACCATTCCTGTGTGAGGTGTGTGAGAAATCATTCTCACAATCATCAACACTACGCACACATCAACGTTTCCACACAGGGGAGAAGCCATTTACATGCAAGGTGTGCGCAAAATCCTTCTCGCAGTCATCAAACCTCCGTACACACCAGCGCATTCATACAGGGCAGAAAACATTCACGTGTGAGGTGTGTGACAAATCATTCTCAACTTCAGGGCAACTCTGCAGGCACCAACGAGATCATACAGGGGAGAAACAGTTCAGGTGTTAGGTGAGCCATAATTTGTTCTCAAGATCACCAAACCTCCTGCTCCACTGGATGATCAACACAAGGGAATACCCTATAAGTGTGTGGCTGCAGGATAACTTCCATTATCTTCCAACCTTTGGGGTCACTACAGGATTCACAGATGGGAAACCTCTTCAGCTGTGATATTTGTGACAAGGCTCTCACTCACTCCTCTGATACCTTGAACCATTAGCCTATGTACGTAGGTGAGACATGTCTTAGATGTGAGGTTTTTGATAAGGCTTTCACTAGGCTGGATCACTATTGTCACTCAGGACAAAATCCCATCATGAATCAATCATTTAATAAAGCCTTCATACAATTGGAACATTAGTGAACGCCATCCAGCCAAGTCCATGCCCAATATCATCTGCGTGTGTGAATCATGCACACAGTCTCACAATGCAGGGTGTTCAGTGGGACTGGGACACAACAAGAAACAGCTTTCACTCCCATCAAACACCTAGTGATGACATCACCAGTGCTGAGGGATTACGATGTCAACAATGGAGCCACCCTGCAGTGTGATGTCAGTGAGGGCAACCTGTTGTGTTTGTATCCAGAGCGTTAACACAAACTCGTAATCCAGATATGACCTGCGCAAAGCCATCAGAGATGCCAAGAGGTAGTACTGGACCAAGTTAGAGGTGCAAACCAACCATATGGACACCCGCTACCTGTGGCAACATAACAAGATACAAAATGAAGCAGAGCAAGACAGCAGACAAAAACATATCTCTCCCTGATACACTCAATGTTTTCTACAGTCAGATTGAGTCGAATGCCAGTGGCACAGTGTCACCTGCTCCAACAGCCACGTATGCACGTGTTCCCTCTGTCACTGCTGCAGACATCAGATCGGTCTTCCTGAGAGTCAACCAAGGAAAGCGACAGGTCCGGATGGAGTCCCTGGCTATGCACTCAGATCCTGTGCCAAGCATCTAGTAGAGGTATTCACTGACATCTTCAACCTCTCCCTCCTACAAGCCGAAGTCCCTACCTGCTTCAAGAAGACCACCATCATCCTGATACCAAAGAAAGACATTCAATGTGCCTTAATGACTCCCACCCAGTGGCCCTAACCTCCATAATCATGAAGTGCTTTCAGAGGCTGGTCATGGCCCACATCAACTTGATTTATCGAACATGCCTTGATCCCATGCAATTTTCCTACCGATGGAACAGGTCCAGAGTAGACACCATTTCCATAGCCCTGCACTCATCCCTGGAACATCTGCACAACAACCTACGTCAGTCTCCTACTCAGCAACTATGTCTCTGCCTTCAAAATCATAATCCCCTCCAGACTGATCTCAAAGCTCCGAGACCTAGATCTCGGCTCTGCCCACTGCATCTGGATGCTCAGCTTCCTGACCCATAGACCGTAATCAGTGAAGATAGACAACTGCACCTCCTCCATGATAACCCTTTCAGGCCCCTACTGTACTCTCTGAACACCCACGATTGTGCAGCCAAATTACAAGTTTGCTGATAACACCACCGTGGTAGGACAGATATCAAACAATAATGAGTCAGAATACAGAAAGGAGATAGAGGGCTTGGTATTGTGGTGCAATGATAACAACCTCTCTCTCAATGTTGGCAAAACAAAAGAGCTGATCATGACTTCAGAAAGAAATGAAGAGAACACGCTCCTATCTACACCAACAGAGTGGACGTTGTGAAGGTTCAGAGTGTCAAGTTCCTAGGAGTGGCAATAACCGACAACCTGTCCTGGACTTCCCATGCAGATGCAATGATCAAGAAGGCACAACCATGCTCTTCTTCCTCAGGTGGCTTAGGAAATTTGGTGTGTTCATAAAGACACTCACCAACTTTTACAGATGCCATAGAAGGCATAATGGCCTGGTACAGCATTGCTATGCCCAGGACTGTAACAAATTATAGAAGATTGTGTGCACGGCCCAGACCATTATGGAAGTCTACCTTTCATCATGGACTCCGTTTACACTTCTTTTTGCCAATGAAAGGCTATCAACATCATGAAAGAACCCTCCCACTCCAGTAATGCTCTCCGACAATCTCTTCCATCAGGCAGAAGATACAGAAGCTTAAACACACAAACCAACAGATTCAAGAACAGCTTCTTCCCTGCCATTATTAGACTGATGAATGGACTTTCTGACTTCAAATAATGTTGATCTTGTTATTGTAGATCTTGCTTCACAAATCTCCTGTCCAGTGTAATCTGTATGCTTCACTCTGTCTAAGCACCTTATGCTCTGTATGTCCTTGCTTCCTATGATCTGCCTGTACTGCTCACAAGCTAAGCTTTTCACTGTACTTCGGTACATGTGACTACAATAAATCAAATCAAATCAAATAAACAGAACAACACTATAAGCGGATTGAGAAAGCAAGTCTAGATATTGTCTTTGATTATGAGAATTTCAATAGTACCTCTTTGGGAGAAAGAAAGTAATGGTGGAGCCAAACTACAAGACAATGAAAAATATCTTTCTCAAATTACTTCTATCCAATGCATTTGGAAAGGATGTTACTTCATTTGTACAGATATTACTTGGAAGTGAAGTATAAGCAAGAGAAGCAGATATACATCACTAACATACTGTTGACAATTGTAGTCTCTCTGAAGGAAGTTGATGCTGGTACAATGTGTGAAATATTCCAGATTCGACATGAAACAACAGCAAAATGCTCTGGAAGTCATCAAACCAGCAGAGATATTGAATCTCACAGACAGACACATTACTCAGGTCAAGCAAACTAGACAACAAGATGCAATTCAAATGTTACAGGAAGTTGTGATGAAAGGTGGCCTGAAAGCGTCAAGGACCCCACTGTTGCTGTCAGTTTTGAACAAACAGAGATGAAGTGATCACCCAAAATTGGCACCTTGTACAAACAGAACAGGCTTATCCCTAAAGAGATGAAATAAAGAGATGCTGAAACACATCACACACAGACCATTACGGAATCAAGTTAAGTCTGAGGAAGGTAAGGGAAGTGCTGTACTGGCCAAAAGTGAGTAATGAGGTGAAGGACCAGCCAGTGCAGTGCTTGTAATGAACATCAAACTGAACAAGATAAAGAGCTGCTCATGACTCGTGACATCCCAGACAGCCCATGGAGAAGCTTGAAGTAGAGTTCATTCTCACTGGAACTGATTATCTCATCACAGTCAACTACTAGATATTTTCTAATCAACTGGATCAGAGATGTTATTACACAACAATTGACGGTGCATGCTTGGAGGGCCGAAGGGCCTGTTCCTGTGCTATAATTTTCTTTGTTCTAACCCTAAAGCAGGTTGAACTTGAATGTAAGATTTCTGGCCAGAGATAGGAGCACTACCACTGCATCACAAGAGCCTTCACAGTCAACCACTATTCACACAATGGTGAGTTAGAGCAACTGATGTCATTGACTCCCAGTGAGATTGTAGAATGTCTGAAAGCACACTTCAGTCATCATGACATTCCTGACATTGTGATCTGTAACAATAACCTCAATTCACGAGTGGAAAATTCAGACACTTCACGAGTGATTGGGAAATTCAGCACCACACATCAGTTCCGTACTATCCTCAGTCAATTGGAAAGGCTGATGCAGCAGTGAAAAAGGCTATGGAGTTGGAGTTAATATAGTACTATGGAGAGAGAAATTTGTCATAATGAGTCATTTTCAAGTTGGCAGGGAGTTGGCACAAGGATCAGTACTGGGATTTCAGCTATTGACTGCATTGAAAGATAAAGAGACAACAACATCTGATTTTAGTTCTTTCAGTCATCACAGAATGTGAATGTCACTGGATAGGCCAGTATTTTTGCCCATCCCTAATTGCCCAGGGGGTAGTTGGAAGTCAACCACATTGCTGTGGGTCTGGAGCCACCTATAGGCCAGACCAGATTTCCTTCCCTAAAGGGCATTAGTGAACCAGATGGGTTTTTCTGACAATCAGCAATGATTTCATGGTCATCATTAGACTCTTAATCCCAAAAATTATTGAACTCAAATTACACTATTTGCTCTGGCAGGATTTGAACCCAAGTCCCCAGGACATCTCTTGATTAACAGCCTTGAGATAAGGCCACTCAGCCATCATCTCCCCTCAGCTGATTAGTTTGCTGATACAAAAGCTAGCTGAACACTGAGAATCGACAAAGAGATATGGACAGGTTAAGTGCGTGAACAACAACATGTCAGATGCAGTATGATGTTAGGAAGTGTGAAGTTATTCACTTTGGTTGTAAGAATAGAAAAACAGAATATTTTTTACAAATTGAGAATCTTGTAAGTGTTAATGTTCAAGGAGAATTTTCTGTTCTCCTTGAAGGAATTGCAAGTACAGCAAGCAATTACAGTGTCGGCTTTTATCGCATGAGGATTGGCGAACAGAAAGAAGCTTTGCTACAACTGTACAGGATTTTGCTGAGACTATATTTGGAGGATCGTGTGCAATTTTGGTCTCTACATTTTAGAAAGGATGTATTTGCCTTGGAGGTTGCATAGCGAAGCTTCACTAAACTAGACAACAATGTGAGTTCACAGCTGTGGAGGGTGGAGCATGAATAGAAGTTTGTCCAGATGGGCAATTGGAAGGGAAAGAAGTAGCAGAAGTAGCTGATGGGATTGGATCAATCCCTGAGCAGAGAGAACAGTAGCCAGGGACAACAAGGTGCAGGGCTGGATGAACACAGCAGGCCAAGCAGCATCATAGGAGCAGAGAGGCTGACGTTTCGGTTCCAGGGAGCACAGATTTTAACATAATTGACGAAACGATTAGAGGGGAGTTAAGGAGTTTTTCACCAGAGGTTAGTGAGGGCTTGAGCTCACTGCCTGAGATGATGATAAAGGCAGAAATCTTCATTTAATACCTTTTTAATAATCTGGGACATGAAGTTGAATGAATAACTTCTCCAGATTCAAAACAAGGACTTTTTTGTCTTTCAGAAAGGACGCGTTCAAGTTAAAAGAAGCCAATATTTGAAAATGTGGAAGACGATTCTGTGTGTGTGTGTGGATGGATGGATTGGGGGTGTGGGGGTGGCGGGGGTGGGGGGGGAAGGTGGTGGTGGTGGTGGTGGTGGTGGGAATTATGGGTGGAGGTTGTACAGGACAATTTTAAGAAATTCAGCAGACTCTTCATTCCAGCATTCCACAGGACCTTGCGAACCTGACTCAGATACAATAAGTGAATTTTTCAATCGACCAGTCAGGAGACAGTGAATGAAGCAATCAGACTATACAGTTTCAATCACTGAAAGCCTTTGGCCACCCTGTCAAACTGTAAATAATAATAAAGTCACTACATCTGACTATTCTCCACGTTCCTTGGAAATGCTCATCCTAGAAAACTTTCTGATGAGACTGAAACCAACCATATCTGATATTCCCCATGATCTTCCTCATTGAAACCAATTTCCTATGTTAATGGACTGGTCACGAGCCAGAATGCGAGATTGTTATAATGTGTAAGACGATACAGATTAGGAAGGTTTTGCGGTGATCATTGTCACGGGTGTGATATTTTTGGTAGTTTTACAAAATGTATGTTTAGCAGTAAGAGAGGTTGTGGCAGCAGGTGATAGCAGCAGCAGAGAGCAGTAAGATCAAAGTAAAGGTAAAATCACCATCATCCCAGAAAGCCATCAGGTTGCTGTCTCATCAGAGAGGGATGACTTGTGGCAGTTTAACCCAAGGGTCAATGCAGCTCAGCCAGTGCAGAAATTGAATCCACTCTGTTGGTGTCACTCTGCATTGCAAATAAGCTGTCCAAGCAACTAAGCTAACCAACACCAACAATAAAGTTAAAGCAGAAATAGATAACAATGACAACAGTACACAGTATAGAGCTTCTCAGAAAATCAGTCTGAGAAGGGAATTGGATGAACTCAAACAGGACAACAAAGATGAATACCAGCAACTGAAACAACAATTTTTCAGAAGCAGCAATTCAAGTGTTAATAATGAGAGTGCAGCTCCAACATTCTAGGAACAGTGCTTGTGAAGTTGATATTGATTTAATAGGAACATAGTTTGTGACTGATACTGAGTTAACTCAGAAAGGGCGCAGGGAACTGATGTTTGTGAGTTGATAAATGTTACAATAAATGATGTTAGAAAAAGGTGTGTACATTGACCATTTTCTCCACCCAGACGGGTTCAGGCTGAACCTTAAGAGTTCAGGGTACAGGAGGGAGATGTGGGTTCACCTATCTACAGGATGGAATAACTTCTCCACATTGACACTGTCCCATCAAATACTCACAGCGAAGGATGTCATGGGTTAGATACAGAATCAAGCTCAGTGTAACCTGTCCCTGGAGTGTCAGATTATCCAGAGTCATTCATAACCGGATCAAGATCAAGACTTTTCTCCTTCATACACTCAAACACTCCTGTATGACTGATCTTAATGTCATTTGGATGTTGTGTTTGGAAACAAGATTTGGGCAAATCGAGAGTGCCGCAGACACAGTGCATCTAACGCTGGGGAAGTACTCTGCAGTTCAGTCTCACTGAAGAATACCAGGGATTTTCAATTGGTGAATGGTTGTTCTGTGGAGTGACTGTGCATGAACTAGTACTTGATGTTTGGATCTTTGCTTGATGTGGGTATCCTCTATCAGTACATAGTCTGTAGGAGGTCCATCACTCCTGGAGTCTACCCACTTTTCTCCATCAGTTTCACTTCTGACACCAGGGTCTTTACCACCTTTTACAGCATCAGGAATCCAGACACAAAGACACCTCCGACACCTGCAATCTAACTAGTCACCCTTTTCAATCAAATCAAACCTTCAGGCTGCCAGTTTACAAGAGGGAAAGCATTGTGTATACAGCCTTGGGGGTTAAACACTTGTAAACTTCTATTAGAATCAGTTTCTAAGTTATTGTCAGCCGTTGTCTAGTTCAAAGGCTGAACAGTTTGCAGCTTTGCTATGTCAGGCATATGCTGAGTGTCTCTTGGAAGGTACAAGGTCATCAACTCACAACTCCTGGAGGCTTCTAATTCCATCAGCATTCCCTCAATGCTGAGCCCATGGTGTCTGCATGGCCCTGATTGATGATAGCTGTAGTCCCAAAGAACTTCTGATCGGTGAACTGGCAACCTGTAAGTGATATAAAGTCACAGGCATTGACACTTACAACTAGGAGACAGATGGCCATGACTTCCTCAAACTGATTGTTTGGAAGAAGTGAGCAGAAATGGAAAGGTCAACTGGCCATGTACATTTTTTCTTACTCACTCATCAATGTGGATTGCAGTAGCTGGACCAGCATTTATTGCCCATCCATAGTCGCCCTTTGAAAGGCGGTAGTGTGTGGCCTTTTTGAACTGCTGCAGTCTTTGTGTTGTAGGTAGACCCACAATGTTTTTAGGGAGGGGATTCCAGGAATTTGAAACAGCAGCAGTGAAGGAACAGTGATATATTTCCAAGTCAGGATGGTGAGTGGCTTGCAGGTGTTGGTCTTCCTATGTTTCTGTTGCCCTGTCCTTCTCAATGGAAGTGGTCATTGGTTTAGAAAATGCTGAAAAAGGATTTTAATGCATCTTGTAGATGATGCACACTGCTGATACTGAGCATTGGTTGGGGAGTGACTGAATGTTTGTGAATGTGGTGCCAATCAAGTGGCTGCTTTCTCTGAGTTGATGTCAAGTTTCTTGAATGTTGGAGCTGTGCTCATTTTGGCAAGTGTGGAGTATTCCATCCCACTCCTATCTTGTGCCTTGTAGATGGTGGCCGGCTTTGGGGAGTGAGGAGGTGAGTTACTTGCCACAGTATTCCTAGCTTCTGACCAGCTTCCGGTCAATGGTAACCCCTAGAATGATGAATGTAGGCGATTCAGTGATGGTAATGCCACTGAATATCAAGGGTGGTGGTTACATTGCCTCTTATTTGCTTCAGTCCATGTCCAAATGCAACAAGGAGAGGCAATGATCTAGTGGTATTATGGACTAATAATCTAGAGACCCAGATAACATTCTGGGGACACGGGTTTGAATCCCGCCATGGCAGATGGTGGAATTTGAATTCAATAAAAATATCTGTAATTAAGAATCAAATGATGACCACAAACTGATTGTCAGGAAAGAAACATCAGGTTCACTTATGTCCTTTAGGGAAGGAAATTGTCACCCTTACCTTCTCTGGCCTACAGACCGACAGCAATGTGGTTGACTCTGAACTGTCCTCTGGGCAATAAATGCTGCCTGGTCAGTGATGCCCTCATTCCGTAAAAGAATAAAGAAAAAAAAAGTATCTCAGGAGTCGCAAATGGTGCTGAACGTTGTGTAATTATCAGCAAATATCCCCACTTCAGACCTTATGATGGAGACAAGGTCATTGAAGAAGCAGCTGAAGATGGTTGGGCCGAGAACACTGACCTGAAGAACCCCTGCAGAGATATCCCGGAGCTGTGAAGACTGACCTCCAACAGCCACAACCATCTTCCTTTATGCCAGGTATGACTCCAACCAGTGGAGAGTTTGCTTCCTGAAACCCATTGATTACAGTTTTACTCGGGCTCCTTGATACCATATTTGGTCAAACGCAGCCTTGATATCAAGGGCTATCACTCTCACCTCACCTCTGAAATTCAGCTCTTTTGCCATGTTTGAACCAAGGTTGTGATGAGATCAGGAGCTGAGTAGCCCTGGTGGGACCCACACTGGGGGTCACTGAGCAGGTTATTGCTGAGCAGGTGCTGCTTGATAGCACTGTTGCTGACACCTTCCATCACTTTATTGATGATCAAGAGTAGACTGAAGGGTAGTCATTAGCCTGTTTCTGTGTATAGCTGGGCAATATTCCACATTGTATGGTTGATGCCAGTGTT